ATTGTTTCACCAGTTTTTATCCACATAGCACATATTATATATCATCAGAAACCTCTTCACGAGTTCTACAACATGGTGCCATTACATTTGATATTGTTCTGGAATTTGGACATAAGAAAAAGAAATACTTCAATTGTAGTCTTTCAATCCATACATGGGGTAGATGAACTGAAGTTTCCATCACTCTAGTAACTACCAATGATGAAAGATGTACAATGACAGCTATGATGGCACTATAACATGTCCTATGTGTACACATAATTTCCCATCTAATACTTGATCAGTGTTCTCTCTTGGTGGGAATCATTATAGACCCTTCACCACTACTAGTGTATTGCTAGTAATGTAAACTTCATAGACATACCCTTATATCATAGTGCATATTGTGCCATGAGTGTATCTAAATGCTTGTTATAGCCTGCATTTGAGCGTGTAGGAAGCAGCAGGAGTGTAGTGCCACCTAGGGTTACGCAGCCACCCAGTGGGGTGCATTACAGTCTGACTACTAGATGGTCAGAGTGGCTGTGTGCAGTAATCTAGTGTCTAACCCTAAAATTCCTAATGGAGGAGGACCCTAACCCTAATTTTGTAAGTGGAGGATGTATGTGACACCTATCTCCAAATTAATGGCTGATTAGCGGAGTTTCAAAATATTTTCCCACAGGGATCATTTTATGTGATGCGAGTTGGCAGGAAGGTCACCCCATAAGAAACAATTTCTTCGTTCCTCATCAATCGTAACCACCTTGGTCAGTATTTGGCTATAAAACGCATATAAGTAACCAGTTGCAGTAGAGACGTACAAAATCCACTAAACTGTTTTGTGAAGTACTTTGCTGGATAGAAAATGATGATTCATATATCATTTGAGTCTACTAGCTGAGCTCTACACAATGGAGGTAGTTTCAAGACCTTATATGTATTACATAGTGTGAAAATGGCTAATCAATGCTAATCAAAGAAGCTTCTGTAGGGGCTGATCCTGTCAGCAGAATAAGCACCCAAAGTATGATTTGGTGAAGTCCATTCGGTGCTAGTGAATTGCATTGGGCAAGAGCAATCTAATAGTGCTTGTGGTACTCAAAAAGATTTTTTTTGTGAAAGCAGCTACTTTCTGGTAGTATTTGCCTTGATGTTATATGTCACAGAAAGCTTTTTTTCAAGGTCTATAACATGGTGCTATTAAAGATTTTATTCCTATATAATTGGTCTATCAAGAAAGAATATACTTGTTTCATGGACTTGTTAATTCAAGCCAGACTTGGCTTCAGTCTCTTTAACAGCCGCCCCTAGTACAAAGCATACAAAGACATACATTAGGACATCATAATGTGTCCTATGTATGTATATAATACAGCAGCTTATAGTCGACTAGCCTTCCCTCTCTTAGTATATGTCACACAGTACACATTATACTACTATTCCACAATATACAAGGAAACTTGAGATATAACACTTCAATGACATTATATTATTTGTTAAGGTCTGTTTGAATATTGTCTATAGTCTGTATAGTGAGCAGCACATATAC